TGTTTGGTGGGAATGCTATAGAAAATTAATGATTCAGATGGTAGAGACAATTGCTGGAGAGATATCTTTAGTAAAAAAGAACAGATAGTTTAGTTTCAGTGCACAAGCAGAGGAGTTAGTCTTATATTGGATTATGGACTGATTCAAAATATAGGAAGGCAGGCAGAGAATGGGGCACAGATACAGGGAGGCCGGTCAATGTGATGGTGGGAGTTTGTGAAAAGTTTCTTCTGATTGCTTCTAATTTCTCCATGAAATGGAAAGCCAGGCCATTAACTTGGAGTGAGAAAGAGGGAGAAGAAGTTGGATATTTGAGGAAAGTTAAGAAGGTAGGAAGTAATTGTCTAGGAGACTAAAACAAGGAATGGGCTAGGAAAATGCTTAACATGATTGCTGAACAGCACCAGAGGCCTATTTGAAGTACAGAATTGTAAATTTAGAGACTAGTAAGTATGGCAGTGTATTTTCTTCAGCTAAGTTCTACTGTGTGGCTAAACAGAGTAGGCAGAGAGTTAGACTGAACTAAAGTTTGCGTTTTGCTACATATGTGAGGGCAGTGAAGGTGGATTGAAGGATCAGGAAACTGTAGCTCCTCAGATGGGGTAGGGGGTGAAATCATAAACTGGTACTAGAGGGAGAAAACCAGAATAATAAGATGCGGTGGTCAGAGAGTGGGATATTTAAAATTGAGATTAGGGAGGAGTGACAGATGAAAATGACAAGGTCCACTGTATGACAAGAGAGGGAGTAACTAAGATAGGGAAGAGGCCAGATTATCACAGTGGAGGGGAGGTCACACTGAGATAGCCAGGTGTTGGAATGAACATCTACAGAGACAGCAAAGTCATCAAGAATCATGGCAGAGGTAATGTTGATAAGACAGCAACAGTGAGCTAGGAGCTAACATCTTTAAGGCATGAGGGTTAATGATCAGGCAGGGGGTAGATAAAAGTATGAGTAGGTGACATAGTCTGGTGACATGAGATTCAAATATCAGATTTTTAGGATTGAGGGATTAAAAAGTAGGTCGAAAGAGGCAAGGAGGAGCTAAGAAGGGAGCTACCCCACCTCCAGGCCCATTCATGTGAGGGGCATGGAAAGCAAATAGCCAACTCTTCTGAGGGCCTTAGGGAGACTCGTGGCCTAGAGAGAGCCAAGTTTCAGTTAGAGCAAGAAGGTGACTCAGTAAGGATGACAGTTGGGTTCCAGAGGGTATAATGGAAATATTTCAGGCATTAGAGAAAGGAGGGAGTTATGATTAGAAAAAGGTTTATGCAGAACCAAATGTCATTCTTTGGGGACTTTTTCCTTTTTAAACATTTCTTAGAAGATGTCAACATTTTCCCATCTCAGATGCCCTTCTTTACAGTTATACGGTAAAGAGGAAGTCCTTTCTTGGCCAGGCTTGTGAACCAGAGTATTGTTTTACCATGTGTCATTAGCTGCTGATTCCAAATGGCTCCTGTGGGCCGGCACTCACAGAGAGTCCAGACCATTACCTTGTCATTTCCTTGGTGCACTCCCCCACAAGACCTAGGACAGGCTTATGCTCTGTGAGGTTTGCACCAGCTTCCCAAGGGAGGAAAGGAGAGGGAATTAACATTGGATTGTCAACTCTATAATGTAATGCTTTGCATATATTTTTACTTAATCTCCTTCATAGTCCTGTCAAGTGTGATTGTTCTAATTTAAAGACAAGGAGAGGCAATGTTGGTGATAAGAATTAGCCTGCCCAAGATCACACAGCCAGTAACTGGGGCAGGTGGGATTTGAACCCAAGCCAGTCTGACTCCAGAACCTGAGCTCTTTGCACCATACCACATAACCTTCTTCCCAGAAGGGTTGGTGAGGCAGAAATCATCTCTCACAGAGATAAGTTCTCACTCTAGCATTTATGTACAACCTTGAACAGTTGTATGTGAATGTGAGACCCTTAGCAGAGCTGGACTCCCTTCATTTCCTCAAGGTGGGGAGTAATCCCTGGGTTTTAACCCTCACTGGTCTTTAGCACTGTCTGAGGGCTTAAAACAGCGATATCTATCTCTCCACCAACAAGGACTAGGCTTTTGAATATCATGCATCTCACTCTCACTCTAGAAAGTAAATTGTACAGATGTTTTATTTGCTTATTTATTTTTAGCATTCAATTACCAGCTTAAAGTCCAAATACTCCGAACTGTGTGGAGCCCAGTGTAGAAGATTTTGATTCTGATTTAAATTGCTAAGTATTTTTCTGATAGTGTGAGCTTGCCTTTCTCGCCCTGATCTTGATATGTAGCAGAGAATTTGTGACACGGGGAAAGTTCAGCTCCTGATTATGGTACTTGCGTGTCCTTGAACAAACAATTTGAATTTTCTGAACCTTAATTGGTCACTTCATGTGTAAAAGAGGGAAAATAATACCTACCTCTCAGACTTATTATGAGGATTCAAGAAGATAATGTAAAAACATCTAAATATAGTTCCCAAAACATAATAGGAGCTCAATTTAAATTTATTCAATAGACCAATACATGTAGATATTCTGATTAAAATACTGCAAAAATTTACCATCTATTTTTTTGTGAAAAGGAAACGTATTATTTCATAGTTTATTTTTATGCAGAGTTTGTATTATAGATCAGCTTGCCAATATGAGAAATCTGTAAAATGGGTTAACATTGCAGTAAAAGTTTTCACTCTATACTCATAGTGTATTAAGGCAAAAATATTTTATTGCAGTTATCCAAATTCAGTAAAAAAGTTAATGAGGCGGTCAGGTGTGGTGGCTCATGCCTGTAATCCCAGCACTTTGGGACGATGAGGTAGGTGGATCCCCTGAGGTCAGGAGTTCGAGACCAGCTTTACCGATATGGTGAAACCCCGTCTCTACTAAAAATACAAAAAATTAGCCAGGAGTGGTGGCATGTGCCTGGAGTCCCAGCTATTTGGGAGGCTGAGACAGGAGAATTGCTTGAACCTGGGAGGTGGAGGGTACAGTGAGAAGAGATCACACCACTGCACTCCAGCCTTGGTGACACAGCAAGACTCTGTCTCAAAAAAAAGAAAAATAATAATGAGGCATTCAATACCTTGGGAAGGTTAGCATAAAATTTAATTTGTGTTAATGTGCCCAAAACTTAGGAAGCTAGAAGTATACTGTTTTAAAATTTGATTCAGTAAGAGGGAAACTAATATTTTATATGATGTTTCGATACATAGATTTAGATTCTGCTATTATCTGCTTCCTTCAGGCAACCAAAAAACTCACGATGAGAATCATAAAAGCTGCATCAATGTCAGGTGCTTAGCGTCAACTAGGTGCTGACAGGCTCTATAGAAGTCAGGCATTTTTATGATATACAGTGAGAGCTTAGTGTATCTGTAGATTGAATATCTGTAAAGGAAACAGTGATGGCATTCAAGTCAGCTGTTAGCTTAGATTCACATTCTGGCTCTGCTGGTTATTGAATGCAGGGCTTGAAGCAACATCTGATTTTCTTCATCTGAAAATGGAAAAAATAACTTATGGGGTCATAATGTTAGTTGGGTAAGGTGATATATCTGATAATATTTTATACGTTATGTTAGGGATATGATATGCCTTGTGGTAATTGAAAGAGGTTGCTGAAGACAGCGTGAACAGGTATCTCACACAGTGTTTCTAAACCACCTCCATCCCTTCTCCCTCTGCCAGGCTGGAGGGCATGCAGATCTTTGTGAGAAAATTATGTTCCTTCTGGACATGTCAAAGAATGGCAGTTAGCTAAGCTACTTCTTCATAGATCCCGGGTATTTTCCTGTTTGAGTGAGAGGGATAGAAAGTTTCAGTGATAATGTGTAGGGTCAGTAAGAATTGTCCAAGTGATAATTGACCTGAAGCCTTGAGTACAAAAAGTGGAAGGACCTTCAAGAACTTCCCTGACCCTGGCTTNCCCAACAGCACATCATTTTATCCAACTTTACAACTCTTAAGGGCTTTACATACCCACCGAGCCCTCCCTGAGAGATGAGGATTGTCAACCTTTGATAAACATGTGGAAACTGAGGCTCTGAAAGGATAGTTACAATGACATTTTAAAACAAATGTCAACTGTAATTTAAAATACTATTTTAGTCATAGCCTCTGTGTTAGGTAGATCTTTTATTCCTGTGTACCAGTTATAATGCCTCAAATGAAGTTGGGAGACAGTGGTCATGTCTCCCTGCAGAGGATGAGAGTGACCTTCACAAAGGGTCTATTAAGTTTATTTAAACTACGGTAACATTATAGAGGAATGAACTGGTGTCCAGATCTTGGCACCCTCTGGGATCTAGGGTAAGGTCCCGTGTCTGGTGTCTACTCAGCAACTCTACCCTGTTGAGTTGCTCTTTACTCCTGGCTTTCTTAATCCCAGCCCCAATTCCAGCCCAGGGCCTCAGCAGTAATGACATCCAAGATGATGCTTCCACAGGGATTCTTCCTGGCAAGTTCAGCCATGAAAATATGTAGACATTTACATGAATAACAAATACATGCTTTGCTAAATCTCACTCTTTGGGACATACTAGGTCCCTTGTCATCATGATTTATACAGTTCTCAAACTAAGGTGAAGGCACAAACTTGCTTAATAGTGTTATAATACGTTTCATGCCACTAGTTTGATTTTCAAAATGTGCTGGGAGATCTTCAAAAATTATCTTACATGTAACTTTGCGGAATTCACTACATCATTGGTTCCCAATGCTAGGTGTTATCCAAGCTATGCCATATTTACCAAGTTAAAAGAACCCTGCCTTTATGTTGCAAAATCGTCAGTAAATTGCTCTATTATCTTGTTTAACTCCCGACCATAGCCATCAAGGAGATTTGCAGGACTCCTCCAGGGAGCACCTTTGTCACATTGTATTTGCTTAGAATGTTATTTAACATTTATTTAGGGCTCCCTTTGGCAAGTGTAAGGGGTGTATTCCAATGCTGTACAGAGCACATATATAGATATTTCTCCCTTGTCTTATTTTGTTTTTTGACTCTATATAGGCAACAGCCTCAGATTCCAATCACCACAGGAACAGGTGTGGTGTATCCTGGTGCTATCACGATGGCAACTACCACACCATCACCTCAAATGACATCTGACTGCTCTAGCACCTCGGCCAGCCCGGAGCCCAGCCTCCCGGTCATCCAGAGCACTTATGGTATGAAGACAGATGCTGGAAGCCTAGCTGGAAATGAAATGATTAACGGAGAGGATGAAATGGAAATGTATGATGACTATGAAGATGACCCCAAATCAGACTATAGCAGTGAAAATGAAGCCCCGGAGGCTGTCAGTGCCAACTAAGGAGTTTTTGTTTGCTGAATTAAAGTACTCTGACATTTCACCCCCCGCCCCAACAAAAAGTTCTTAAAGAGCCCGCATGCATTTGTGGCTCCACAATTACATCAGCAGAATGGTCTTAATTGTTTCGTAAAGTGTGAGACAGATTAAGTTTTCCCTGATTTTTCATGAACTTGAGTTTTTTGTCGTTATTGTTATTGTTGTTGTTGTTTTTTTAATTTAGGTGAAGACATATTAAATATGAGACACCAGGACTTGAAAACTTATCTCAACCCGTAGATGTCTTACAAGTCTTATATTTTTGTCTTACTTTTTTTTTCTTTTGGATGTTGATAAAGGTTTAAGTTACTGTTTTAGATGGGGTTAAACATTCTCACTCAGGTATGCTGTGCCGGCCTACAGGTTGTGAATGTGTTTTTATTCTGAATTATCTTAGAAAACAACTGAGGATTTCATATTGTGAAACAGAACAAGTCCACGGCGTGTGCAGCTGCATGTAGAGCATATTCAAAAGGCCTCAGAATTCCAGTTTTCCATGTGTAGAGTTAAACTTTGAATGTGCCAAACTTTTTCTTAACTTTTGAATCTTAATATTTTGAAAGTCTTAAAAGAGACACTGCAAAGTCTTAGACAATCTTTGGCATCTTAAAATAAAAGAGCAAACCAACTTTTTTTTTCCAGAAAATGGTAAAGTGCTCAGGAATCTGGAGACAAGATATTGTAAGGAATGAACAAGGTTGCCACAGTGCATGGACCCATTTGTGTTTGCCTGTTGACGTGCCATCAGTGCATGATGTGGTATGACGTACACACACCAGAGCGATCGCCACACCAGATATCAACAGGGTGGTCTTCTCTGCCTGAGACCACCTCTCACTACATCCATTATCCCTTTGCCTTTAACCCTGACATTCAGTCTTAACACATCTTCTCTTAAATAATTTATTCATTCCAGAATGTCAAGGGTCCACTTACTATTTATTTTTTTTTAAAATTGTTGGTGGCATTAATTTAATAATTCTTGTTTTTCACCCTCCTTCCCCAAAGAATTTTTTAGTTCTTTTCACCTCCTTCCCCTGTGTACATAGTGATTTTATGCCCCCAGAACGCCTGGAAACATTTCTGAAACCAAGATACTATTAAAAACCTATTATTGTTTTTAATCATGAGTATATATCTGGCTGCTGGGCTGTGTATTGGGATAGAGGTGTATAGTCTTACACTTAAACAGGTATGCCCCTGAGGTTCACTGTGACCTCAAGTCTTTTGCCAGAATTTTCCCCTAATTCAGTTCACGAGTGGTAGGGTCTTCATCTGCGACATTTCCCCCTGAATTCCATTCGCAGCAAGGGTCAACAGTGGTGACTGCCAGGCAGGAGACTCCTGCGGCCAAACCTGAAGCCACGGGCTCATGGGCCATGCAGGAGTCTCAGTGAAGCTGTCATGGGCTGGCACCTTTACACTGAGTTGCCTTGTCCCAGCTGGCACATCCAGGGAGTTCACTGCAAATCTCCAGGATGCAAGAAGCCATGTGACAGCCTCAGAGCAAAGATAGTGGCAAATAGTCATGATACATCTAGAGAATGAAAGAAAACCACAGGAGAGGAGAAGAGGGGTAATACATTCCCCATATGGGATGTTCCTACTGTTAACTCTGGGGAACAGATAGCTCCGGGGGCAGCAGATAGGTTCCGCTGGCTGACTCTTATCTGTGGCCACATGGGGACATACCTATGTGTGAACAAGATGAACTGCATTTGTCACACAAGGATTTCTTTGGAGACATGCTGCTGGGGTGGGAAGCAGTGAGGTTTTATTCCCCGTCTCCTAATTACAGGGAGCTCTGCCATGCCATTTTGACCTTCCTGAAACCAGGATGGGTTGCCTATGGGGGGGGCTTCACCCAGAAAGGTTTAGTGGGAGAATGTCAGTGAATGGGACAGTTCATCTCATGGAACAACCCAGAATCTGATCACCAGGACATAGGAATGGCCCCATCAGATTTCTTGAGCCATTTTGTCACTTGGAAGAAAATAGTGTACCTTCGTATTTATTTAAGAGTGCTCAAGGCCTAATAGCAATAAACAGGTCTAGCCAAGAAATTACCAGCTATGCCGTTAGCTGGGAGTGCTCTCTATAAGCTGATTAAGGTACTGATAGGAATGTTTTGTTCTTCATATTGGTTGGGGATTAGAAATTTGTTTTTGTACATTTATTTCAAATGAGGAGGAGGTCTTTTTTTCTAAAAAAAAAAAATGAGTATTTATTGTCTTACTGATTTCTTTGATTTATATACCTCTCCTCCTCAGTTCACTCTTGTTTTTTTTCTCTTTCTCTTTGGCTTTTGCTTGTGCTTTCTCTCACTTCTCTTATTTTGTTGCATTGGTAGAGTGTTGTATGGCTAGTATTGTATTGTATGTAATTAATTTTGCACAAAGGCAAACATTTAGCATAGTAGGTTAATTTTGTTTGTTTTTATGACCATGCCAAAATAATATTCTGGGCTGGTGGAGAACAAAGGACTGTTCTTTAGGACTGAAACTTGATTTTGCTTGTAGTAAGTTAAAAAAAAAAAAACAAAAAACAAAAAACACACACACTCACAGATGTTGTTTCGTAAGTGTTATAAGCACTGGATATAAATGGTATTTTTTATCACTTCTGACTAATGTGAAACTGTTGTACGAAAACTACATGAACAAAAGTCATCTGTTTCGACTCGTGTGGGCTTGCCTCACAGTTGCCGGATTTGAGTCATTTTTATGTCTTGTTATTTCATTTATTTATGCAAAATACATGTGTGTATGAACACTTTGTTTTAGCTCCAGCTCTGCCTCAGTACTGGGGTTCAGTTACTTTTAGCCATGTTCTTAAAAATGAAAGGCTGTTCAGGAATGATCTGATTGTAAACATCTCTTTCATTGGATCAAAGAGTAATGCTGTATTTGAATCTAAATTTTGTGTATAAGCAGTTTATTTATTAGCCAAGTTTGGCTCTAAATATCCATGGAAATTAAGAATGACAATCATAGGGATCACTTCATTTTATTTTCAGTGGGGCTTAAACAAAGTTTTTATGACTTTACCATCTCATTTTAGATTTTTCTAATTGTGTAAATATAACATAGAAATAGAATTTATTTTTGGTTCATGAATTCTTAGTGAGATATAAGTTATGTATTTCCTTTTTGTTCTCTATCCATAGATGTTGGTCCAAACTGAAAGTTGATGAGTCACTGTACCTCACGGCAGTAGTGAGTTATCAGATACAGTGAGAGAGCAGTGTTCGGCCTGCAACTGGGACCGGCTTTACCAGGGTTCTCATGCAGTTCAGAACCCACTGTCCACAGATTCAGACATTTCTCAGTTTCTTACAGAAAGTTGATGATTGGATATACTAAATTTCCACTACAGCTAGGAGACAGTTTGCTTTGTGAGTCCACATAAATCTTCTAAGGTAGTTCTGTGACCATATAATAGCAAGAAGCATGAATGCCATTACAAAGGCAAAAATCCACCTCTGAGATTGGCCATTATTAAAAGTTCCACCATGTCAGTTTGGTGTCAATAATGTTAAGCAACCTTGTTTTTGCGGTGCTTCCTATTCCATAGTATCTTCGAATCAAAGATAAAAAGTATTCCCATTTTGTTAACACACAGGGTCAGGGTTCTCCTTGTTACTTAGAATTGGAACACTGGCAGACAATCCTCTCCTTAAAAAAAAGGGGCGGTATGGAATGGAAGGGAAAGGAGAAAAGAAGGAAGGCAGGAAAAAAGGAAGGAAGGGAGAGAGAAAGAAAAGGTCGCTTTGTAGACGTGAGCCGCCAGGCTGACAACTTTTCTATTTCATTGGCAGATATGAAACAGTGTCTTTTCCAGGAAGGTACGGAAGCTTTGTTGTTTTCACACATATCCAACTCAGTCTTTTAGGAGCACATCAGTTTGCTTCATTGGTATTTGTTACTCTCCAGCCTTGTCCTCAGGCCTGATTTGATTTGCCAGGGTCCTGACACCAATGCCCAGGCCAACATCTAAATTCAGGTGTGGGCTCACAGTGCTATTGAGTTTGTCGAATTCTGGCCTCCCCTGAACGTTTAGCCCCATGGGAGCCTGAGGGTGTTTGAAAAGGGTGTGATCACTCTGGGGCTGAAATTAAAGGCTGCTTTCTTTTCCTTCTGAAGCCAGGCTGCTTCTCTGGAGCACACCCTCCTGAGCCAGGAACACAGGCGCTAGCTGAAAGCAGGGATTGTTTCGGGGAAGCCCATTTACCCTCAGTAGGAAGGCAGCCTGGTCACTTGAACAGCACAGCTGAGGCTGCTTCTCTCAATTTACTCATTTTGCAAAGAATTGACCTCTACCAACTCATTAGGGAGAGAAAAAAGAATCACTTAGTAATTTTAGATCATCGAGAAGTCCCGTACCAAGTGCCAACAACTGCAAAGAAACGCAGCTAGAGGAATGTATTGAAATTATTACTGGGTCTTCCTTTTAATGAGAAAATGACCAAAATGGTTATGTAGCCCTGCCTGATTTTGTACACGTTTGTCTAAGGATTGAGTTGGCACTTAAGCTCACTTCTCAAAGTATAATAATATTGTATGACCTCATTTGTCCTTTCACAAAAGCACTTGCATCATTTCCTTAAGTCATCTGCTCTCTGACATGTTTTCTTCCCTAATAAACAACTTCTGTCTGTTATTCCTGCCAATGATGTCCTGTTTCTGATGCCATATCCTATTGAGTGTGCCCCTGCACTAATATCACTGAAACTATTGATATGCAAACACATTTCCTTTTCATCCCCATTCATCTTTTCTTTTGGGGACAGATTGCTTTCCAAAAGCTCATGAACAAGTATTTGGAATGCTGGTACCTTTGGGGCAGAGGTAAGGGTGGGTGGGGTGGGGGCAGAAAGGTAATGCTTAATGCAGATACTCTTCTAATCAGTGTCCGTGGCAATATAAACGCTTGAAGACACCTCAGTGACATATCTTGCTCAGTAGTTTCTTATTCCTGAAGAACCACAAGCATAAAGTGAGGCCTCAGTGCTGGTGCTCTTGGAGTATGGGGAATGTGCAAATATTGAACTGTTTTGTATGCTGCACATTGCAGGTCTGCTCATGTGCATTCTCCCTTTGTCTTCCTTTGTCATATGTGTTGTTGCTTTTTTGAAAGTGCAGTCTTTATTGTACCTTCCTCCAGCTTGTAGCAAATTAGAATGCTTAGCATTTATGTTCATTCATTATTGTATTTGCCATGTAAAATTTTTATTACCTTAGACAAGCTTATAAGCTGTTACTACATAACTTATCTTACTGTAACTCTTTTATTTCCCCCGACGTTGTAATTTGTTTGTGATGTATATTGTGAGATTGTATTCTATGTTAATTTAATCAGCACAATTCACTGACATGCTGGACTGACATGCTGGCTGCTGTTTCAAATTGTAAAGTTTGTGTAGGGCTGTCGGGACAACTGCAACTCTGTTGTCAAGGTACTGTGCTTTGGTTCCTATAGCAACACTGGGTGTGGCCCTTGAATTGCTAAGGGCATTTAATACACCCTGGAGCAAATTTTGACTGCAGATTTTCTTTGTAGAAATTCTATGTATAATGCAGGTACCTACTTGGCCCATGGCTGGTAACTATTTGGGCAATTAGAGAAAAAAAAAACAAAAAACCATAAAAACTAGTGTCTATTGCTGCTTTGAATATGTTTGAAAGTCTGAAAATGTAAATAGTTTATCAAAAAAAAAATCTTGTACAGTCCAGTGTAAAGTTTTTAAATGACCTTAAGGGTTGCCATCACATCTTTCTCACACTCTCCTCTTGATAAGAATAATTAAAAGTTTGCAAAGGATTTAAGAAATGGGAAAAATAAAAAAAAAAAAAACTCTTCAAATTTACAGGAATGAATTATTGTTCTTAGCTTTGTTGCTACACAAACTTCTTGGATTTTGTTGTGCAGTATTGACGTGAGATAAAGCTCAACATTGAATAATCTTTCAGTGGTACTTTTCAAAGTCTTCCCCTCCTCTGCCTCATAATTAAGGGAAAAGACAAAATTGAAAGACACACTGTCTTTATCTATCCTGGTATATGTTGGCACCTTAGCTACTTTTTTTTTCCTTTTTGCACAAGGTGCTTTCCTGATATGTTCAACATGCCATCTTTGGGTGATAATGTATATGCCGTGATGGGGCTCAGGCCCCTTAGGGGAGTGTCTATAAGAACTGCCTATTTATGCTCATTTACCTCAAGACTGTCCTCTCTACCCTAATCTAGTTGTCATCACTCCATCTTTTGTACTGCTGTTGACACTTACAAATTAAAGATAAATTTTGTTTTATGACTTCTGTGTATGGCCTTATCTGTGCCCTGCAAAGTGTACCTCCCCATGGAGCCCCAGCCAGCCCTGATAGTGCCACCCACTTGCTGCTGGAGCCTGCAGAGCTCTCCTGCCCTCTGCCATTGCTTCTGCCTGGCCCAAAGGTAGGTCTCCGAAAGCCTTGGAACCCCTTAACCTAGAAAGACTTGCCTGCTCTTTTCATTGTGGAGCACACCCTGCTGAAGCAGGAAATGCTTGTGCATTTAGAAGGGAGGAACAGGATGCAAGGTGGACCTTTGTCAAGAGAAGATGAGAAAGCATGGCATTGCCTCTTTGCCTGACTTCTTCATGAGAGTGAAACAGCTTAGAAAGAGTTCAGAGCCTTTTGGAGTATGAATGACTCTCAAGGGCCAGCCTCTCATCTGACACCACCTACTGCAAGCCTAGCAGCCAAGAGTGGAAAATGCTGCACTTACAGAACCTTTCCCTCCACTGTGGTTGGCAGTAGTTGGCTGATTACTCAGTAGCTTCTGCCTCGGAGAAGAAAGAGCCCATCTTTTTGTGGAGCAATGAGCTGCATCCAGAGTGAAACTCGGCTTCTGGTGAGATCAGCTTCTAAAATGTTGCCAAAGCTGTTTCATTGTGCTCAGAGTCTGCGTGGTGACAGGGTGGGTAGTGGGCTGAAGTGAGCAGGGCCCTTAAGGGAGACTTGCCAAACCAGCCAAGCCAGTCCTGTGATTTTAGAGATTAGTAACCAACACCTAGAGAGTGAAACAAAAGCATTGGAGAGAGAGGAGAGGCCCAGCCACTTCTGATACTTTCTATTAAAAAATGCCTCCAGAAAAAAAATCTTAAGAATTTGTGGAACTGATTTTATTCCAGTCACGTTGCAAGTTAGACGCACGCTCCTGTAAGTTCTGAACATCCAGCATTCCAGGACCTCCCTCTTGCCGTGGCTTTTTACAAGCCCAGGTAAATACAGGGCATTGGAAAGAACAGGGACTTTGGAGACACACCAGCCTTGCTCTGTCACCTGCCAGTTGCATGACCTTCCCCAAATAATACCTCTGAGCCAGAGTTCTCTCCTTTATAAAACGGGATAATAATTCTTATCTGTCAGGGTACTGGGGGGATGAAAAGTAATGGCAGGTGTAAAACATCCAGGAGTGGACGTCACACGGAGGGTGCGAATGCCCACTGCCTCCCCTGACCAGAAAACGCCTAAGTTAGCAGGGAGGTTGGCTGGTGTCACCGCTGAGCAAAGTATAGGGGGTGCCTGAAGCCTTTACTCAGAAGCTGGTCACATACAGGATGACCTCAGGGGCCCTCCCTCTGAGCTAGTCTCCAGGACACTGGATTCTCACTTCCTTGCCACCACTGCACATCTTCTAAGCCATGGATCTGACCTGTCCCCACTCTCTCATCCTTCTCTAAAACCTCTGGCTTTCTGCTGCTGTCTAGATAAAGTCTCAACTTCCTCCCCTGTCAGCCAAACCTCAACAGACCCACCAGCCCCATTTTCCACTATACCCACACACACATTCAATGTTCTCTGCTTCTCTCACACCCCCAGCCTGTCCACCACCCTGGGGCTTTTACTTCTCCTTTATCCTGGAAGGAATCTGTCCCCTTTTCGGTTTGGGAAATTCCCGGTTATCTTTCAAAAGCCACCCAATATCACCACTTCCTGATACCTTCTTGACCCCCGGTTTCAAGTTCTCCCTTGGGGCTCCCATGGCACTTTGAAAGAACCTCACGATCACTGTGAGCATATTGTAATGATCTGTCTCTGTGTCTGTCTTTTCTGCTAGACAACAAACTACTGAAACCAAAAACCATACCTTGGCCTGCCCTGCCTCCAACACAGTGCTTGGCACATAGTAAGTGCTCTACACTTGTCTGTGGAAGGAATGTATGAGGGATTGCAACTTGGCCTCCATGTGTGGTTTACTCACCTGCCAGCATCAGGGTCTCGGGTGGTGAGGCTGAGGGATTCTGTAGGTGTACCTTGGTATTATTTCATTTGGAGAACATTATTAGTTAGAAACATCTGTATTCATATTGGAAGAGCCATTTTTCAAGTTGATGTGACAGGCACAACGCACTGAGTCTCTGTGCTTTTAGGATGACTCACTGCAGAATACCTGAGCCTCTGAGCCAGAGCCACTGCTCTATTCTTCCTCCTAGGCATCCTGGCTGGAGCATGAAAGGGACAAACCAGGAAGGGGAAACTTTTATGAGATTCCCTTATCTTTTTCTTGACAAGGGCTTCTTGGAGGCCTGAAGAGACAAGGGGTTCTTGGAAGCCTGACTTCTGGGCCTCCATCATGGAAAGAGAAGGAGACCAGCTGCCTCTGCCTGCTGCGGAGACCCAGGGCAGTATGGAGAGCCAGGGCAGTGATCTCTCCTTCCTTTTTGGTCCAGGTAATGACTCCTTCCCTCAGTGGTGCTCTAGAGTCATGCTTGCTCAAAGTGTGGTTCACAGATCAGTGGCTATAGCATCACCTAAGGCATATTAGAGTATGGGCTAATATGGCATGAGCTATACTGAGTAGAAAGTTGCCAAGCAGTTGAGACTCCACAAACCATCATCTACCTCCTCTTAGTCAATGACATACCATGGGTGAGATAGGATTTTCCTCATTTGAATTGTGAAGGCCCAGAGGCAGCACATGACCCACCCGAAGTCACACACAGATTAAATGGCAGTGCCGGAACATGCACTTGTGATTTCTAATTCCAAACGCAGAGGTGAACGTGTTGCATATGGCCCCACAATAGTCTGTGGAAATTCCTCATCACTGGGACAGCCCTGGATCTAGAGCTCAATTATCACCAGGTGTCCTGGACTGTGTCACACTGTGGGAGCACCGAGGCAGCTAGGGGTGGTGGCCTCTGGCAGCTCTGACTGTCATCCTTTACTCTGACTGTGTCCAGTGCTCAGTCCATGAGAGACCCTGGGCCAAGAGGGTGACTCTCTGCAGAGCTTATTCAAAGCTCCCGCTGTTAACTAGCCACCTAGTAATTTTTGCACTCTGACACTAGGCTGAGTGGCCATGGAGTAGATCAATGAGGATATGTGTAGGTCCTGGGGGGTCCCATTCCTGAGTCTGGGAGGGAGACGCTCAGTGAAGAGGCTGATGCCCCCAGGTCCTGACCAGCCTTTCCAGTTCCATCTCCAGCAGGCTCCCTACACAGACACAGCACACTGCTTGCTGTGATCTGCACATACCACACACTGAAATATCTCCTGTGCCTGAAAGTCCCACTCTCATTTCCACCAACTATTGCATCCCCATACATTAAAGCCCAGCTCAAATGTCACCTCCTATGAAAAGCCTTCCCTCCATATTCCTCTTCTACCCTGCAAATGTGAATTGCACTGAAATGACCTGATTGTATTTTGTTATGTGACACATTAAATCTGATTGTCACATTCACTTTTTTATCCAATAGTCCTGACACATAGGAGGTACTTAATCAATGTGCTTATTTTTTAATTTTAATTTTTATATTAACATGCCTGCTGTTCTATGTGTATATTATTTTTTAAAAAATGAAAAAAAATGAAGGAATGAACTCTTTCTACTTGAACTCAAAGTACTCCACACTCTTCCATTGGTTAGTGTTTTCAGTCTGATCTTCTAACCCCATGGCTTCTAGCTCTCTAAACACATCAGACTATTAATTAGAAACACGTTCTCCCACCTCTATGTCTATCTGTGCTTTATTTTTTTAAATATATATTTTTTGATCCCCTAAGAACAAATTTTTCTCCCTTACGGAAGGTGACATTATCCTGTTGAAACTGCATGCTCTATGGCAGGGCATGGTGGCTCACACTTGTAATCCCAGCACTTTGGGAAGCTGAGGTGGGCAGATCACCTGAGGTGAGGAGTTTGAGACCAGCCTGACCAACATGGAGAAACCCTGTCTCTATTAAAAATACAAAATTATCTGTGCATGGTGGCACATGCCTGTAATCCCAGCTACTTGGGAGGCTGAGACAGGAGAACTGCTTGAACCCAAGAGGCAGAGGTTGTGGTGAGCCAAGATTGCACCATTACAATCCAGCATGGGCAACAAGAACAAAACTCCATCTCAAAATAAGAAGAAAAGAAAAAAGAAAAGAAAATGTATGTTCTATATCACCTTCTCTTTGAAGTGTGTCCCTTGCCATAGAGTTTGTAACTTGTTCTTCACTTCACTGTGAGTTCTGTGTTCCAGGTACTGTGACTTAGTAAAAATTTCCCCAAAACGTAGTGACATAAAACCGTTACTTATTGTATTCACAAATTCTGTGGGTTCACAAATTCAAACAGGACAAAGTGGGAGGCTTTTTCTCTTCTGCTCCACAGTGTCTGGGATCTCAGCTAGGACACTCAAAGACTTGGGCTGGAGCACACTTTTCTCTCATGTTTGGCAGTTGGTGTCAGCTGTTGGCTGGGACCCTAGCTGAGGCTGTTGACTGGAACACCTACATGTGGCCTGGGCTGCATCACAACGTGGTGACTGAGCGTCAAGGGTGAGCAGCCCAAGATAAAAAGATAGAGGGCCAAGTGGTGTCCTCTTTCATGGCCTAACCTAAAAGTCATGGAGCATCACTTCCACTGTATTCTATTTATCGATGCAGTGACAAATTCATGCCCAATTCAAGGGAAGAGGAAGTCAACTTCACTTCTTGATTGGGGAGTGATAAAGTTTTAAATATACGTGGGACTGGATATGTTGCTGTGGCCGTTTTCGGGAAGTACAATCTGTTGCACTCTGATATCTGCTGATCTGCAACGCTGTGCCTCACTCCCAGCAACCACCCTGTCTTCACATGGCCTTGCACATGGTGTAATGTTGATATATATGTCAAATTTATTTGGATGCTCTAAGTTGAGAGGATGAAGCCCCAAGCCTTGGTCCATTCCTGCCAATATCAAAATGTGGTTACCATTGTCCAGAGATCCCTGGTTAGGCCAGCTGTGGACAAGAAGCTCACTGAGGCACCAGGGTGCCCTAGAACAAATGGTAAG